CATGCTTGTATGTGTGGACATGACTATATTTGTGTATTGTAATTTACTTTTTATAATCTGGAAATTAGCTTCATGAAATTGAATCGATTATATATCCTCTTTGCCTAACTTTACTCATTTGGGTGATTATGAATACATAAAGGTTAGGAAAGGCTAGAAGTAGTTATAAATAAAACAAATTACAATGAGAGGCTGTTACTTTTATGGTATGTTTCTGTGGGATAGAGAGTAGGATTGTAAGGAAGAAACATCTGGCAATGCTTAAGTTAATATCAGCTCCTATTTATATCACAATCATTATATATTATTCATCAATATGTCATATAATCAATGTTCTACTTATTGAACCTATTAAACTGTTGTTTCATGTAATGATAGAATATGCAAACGTACTTCAGATACATATATTCAGGAGAGTGAAATCACTAAGACAGTTGGTACTCAAACTTGTGAAATGTGATTTATTTCTTTCCATTTTGCATAAGACATGCTAATATCTATATCATCTGTAGCACAAAAACCTGAGAAAATGTAGGTACAAAAGTAACAGTAAATGAATACTATTCTGCTAGAAATAGACTGTGTTCCATGTCACACTTCAAGTTCACATTTAAAAGAAATTCAGGTGAGTGAAGCAAGCAACTGAGTATTGTTCTTGTGACTTGAGCCATCAAAACAGATATCTTTTTAAAACCTGTATTTTCTTTCAAAATGTAAAAAACAGTTTGCCATCAAAATTATATTTTCAGTGAAAATCACATAAAATCTCTTTTGGTCTTTGAAAGATGTTGTGCTTCATACAGCAAGCACCATCATGATCTATTAACAACACCTTGCCTTGCAAATTCAGATTTTGAAACTTTCTGAATTAATTATCCTTTCAAATTTTTATAAAACAATCTATATCGACTCTATTTTAAAAGGTTGGCTGACCTCATAATTAAGTAGAAAAAGAACTGGACTATGAAAGAATCATGTAAGAAAAAAAATTTAAATATTAAATTGCATATTCAAAGGTTAAATTTTTAATGGTTAAAATTTTTAAAAAGTATTCTCTTTCTTTAACATAAATGGAAAATAGTGAAACTCACACTAAGTATTAAGATGCAATGATAAGTATTAACTAATATGCTTGTAAGACTACAGATGTGTAAGCTACTATAAAATTCTATTAGGTTTTTATTAGATTTTATTGTAACCCCAGCTTGTCTCTAGTTACTAAGCTTATCAAGTATTATGAAACACTATAAATGTAGGCTCACTTTATATTAATTTCAGGTATTATTTTGGAGAATAAATAAATCTTCATTATTTCTAAATTCTCATTTATAAGCAACCTCTCATTCCTATATTTTGGCATTACCAAAAACCCAAAACAAACCATCAAGTACAAATAATAAAATGCTACAGGTTTATAATCCATTCAATGGATATATATTCACATTAATATGCATCACAAAGCACTAAATATAGGTGACACAATGACAATCTTTGCAGTAATGGTCAGCAACTAAAACTGCTACTATGCATGTACAATAATTTATAATAGCCTTTCATGGTAAAAACAACAAAATTAGAAAGTTCACCTTTTTTTTTTTTAATGTATAGAAATTGGAACATGAGCAACAAATCCTTATTTTACTGCTATTGATAGATGTATCCACATTATATGTACATGTGTGTTTTCCAAGGGGTGGGGGGATGTATATTTTAGTTAAAAAAAGTATCAAATCTTGCCCCACTACAACAACAACAAAAAATAAAGTAGTAAACCTGAAGTCTAGCTGTTCTTTCCAGAGATACGTTGGCAACCAGCAATAAAGAAGAGTCTACAGGACTTAGCTTTGGAGAGGAAGAAACCACTGTAAATGCCTCTATTTTGTCATGGGACGTGATAAAACAGCATTAGGGTGATAGTGTTTTTTGTTTGTTTTGTTTCATATTTTTAAATAATAATAAATAAATAAATAATAACCTCTGTTATATCTTTCAACATCTAACTCTCCTATACCTAAGAGAAAGTAAAACTCCCCATTTGAAGTCATAGTAAGTATAAACATTTTATTTGGTGTCATCTGTGACTTCTATGTAAATTTTTCTCTGTAATGTAAATGCATGGGACGTGTCCTATGGCATTGGGCAACTGATGGGAATACTCCACTCAATCTCACTACTTGGGGAGGGATATGATGGTGAGGAAAGTGTGTCACTACAGAATTACTGATTAGGTAAAAGAATGTGGAATTTATTTTGAGAGAGAAAAAAATTAATACGAATCTTCTACTCAGACTAATTCAATAATGTTTTCATTTGCAATGATGGCATTCATCTGAACATTCCATAGTATTGAAACACAACCCTATTCCCAAGCTCCCTTCTCCCTCCACAAATAATAAATAATATCATCTCAAATTTGTCTAAGGACCATACATTTAATCCAGTTTTTAGGAAACAAGTAGTTTCTGGATTATGTAGATCAGTAGCCTAGAACTCTCTGACATACAACCTAAGCTTAGAAGGTCACCAGGTAAGACTAGGTTACTAACATCTGCGGATATACCTGAAAATGGAACCTGAAAGCAAGGCCATAAAATACTCAAGATTGTTTGGTTAAAACAAAGTGTCAAGAAAGATGCTTGTGCCTTATTTTAAAGCTAAGCTTGTCTTATTAGATATGTATATGACAGAGGATTCAGGCAAAAAGTGCTGCTCATCTTTCAACAGATCTGATAACCATGTTGAGATCTATCATCCCAAGCTTTTTCAAATCTACAGATTTTATTATTTCATCACCCCCCAAATAATGTCTTATATACTTTGGTTAAGAAGATTATTTAACACAGTAAGTATATTATGTAACAAAAAGCTATTTTAAAAGACACACGTACACTATCAGTTTCACAGGACAAACATAGTAAGTAAGGACAACAAACTCCAGAATGTGTTTTTATAACTGTAGCAACAGCAATAATTCCTTGGCAAACTCAAACCGTATTTTTGGCAACCGTGGATGTTCTTCGCATTTGTCACTTGGATAACATTGCAACAAGAATTGTCTGAGACTGCTTTGTTTTCTTCCACACCATTTGACTATGACTTTGCTCTTAAGGAAGAAGTTTCACATTTTAACCTATTTGTGAATACAATTCCATTAAAATCCCACAAGGGAGATTTATACAAAAATCTTTATGCCTATGAATACCAAATGTGGGTCCTACATAATTTTTTTGCAATGAGTGACCTTGTAAACTTTTTAAAATCTATGCTAATAGAAAATTATTTTTGCTCTCTTAAGAAGATACGGTGAATTCTATTTCTGAATGAAAATTACCTGCATATATGAATGTAATAATTTCCTGTATATATATCACTGAGTCTGCACATCTGCTATCATTTTGCACATCTTTTAGAATAAGACCCCCAGGACAGGAGTGCTTTACTAACCTGCAGTGGTCTCTGTTTATCACTGCTCTTGGGAGATTTCAATCCACTTGTTTGCTGCTGTAAGAGAAGTTGTCTGGCTGCCTGGAGAGCCTAGAAGTAAAAATGCAACAGTATCTAAATATTTTGTTGAAAGGTAAATTGATTACCAGCCACTCCTTGGTTAAAAGTTAAAGGCTTCAATATATGAGAATCCCCCAACCTCTTTTCTAGAGGGAATCATTAAGTATTCTTTTTCTTCTATTATACAAAAAAAAAAAACAAAGAAAGAAGAAAGAGAGAAATTCACGTAACATAGGAATATAACTTCACTGAATATTGCTTGGATGCATGTAGTCCTGCAGGAAATAAAGTTAATTTGTTTAAAGTGCTTAAAGAGGAAAAAAATCATAAACTGCATCAATAACCTCATTTCCACAAGGAACTTGTCTTTGAGTGTTCAACTAAAATGCCCACTCCTCCCTTTTAAATTATCCTTCAATTTGCATTTCTACATTACACTTTTGAAGCAAAAGCAGTAGACTTCAAGTGTTACCGGAAGCTGTAATTAAATTTGACAAATCAACATCAGATTATCTTGAAAGTGAATTAATAAGGATTTTCACTAAAAGATTAAAAACACTTTTTTATTGTACTTACAATTCAAGGGGAAACCTCTCCTTTGACAAAATAAAGGGCAGTTTTAATGCCATATAAAATTGAGTGGTTTTCATTTGCATTCTTAGCAAAATCAGAGAACAAAGAAATTACCACTCAACCAATCAGGTTTGTTTCTATGTGTGACAGAATACCAATCAAAATAGAAGATGTTGTCAGTTATTTTTATGGTGGTTTTTTTTTTTTTTTTCCTTCTCAAGAAAATAAAACTTAACAAAAGAAATTAATATAAGCAGTCATCTACTGGAATATGGACAGTTTGATGAATGCATTTTATGAACTTCTCTGAGAAAACCTGGTGTCATAATGCATATTGAGTTGTTTGAAGGTAGGCAGTGTAAGATAATTAAAAAAAAAAAAAAAAACTTTTTGAGAGGTGCTCCTTCCAAAACTCATTTTCTCTTTCAACAACTGGGTTCCAATGAATGCTAGCGTTAAAAGTTTTCAACATATAAAATGAAAATAAATCATTGCCTTTTGCTGCTAGCCATTCTTTTAGAGTGCAAGACACATTTTTCATCAAGGGAAAATATCATTAGATCAACATATTCTATGATAATTAAGATTCTCAGGTGATAAAAAGTACAATTTTGATTGGAATGAATGATCTGGTTTTTAAGAGAGTTTCTAGTATCCATGACAACAGTTGCTTTGACAAGATGTGCATATGGCATTACACTGCCAGCTGGTGTGAACAATGTTTGAACTACTGCATTGAGATGCTGAGCAAACAGAAAAAGTTGCCACGTCTTAACCCTCAGGGAAGGCAGTCATCCCCTGATCAATTATGAAAAGACAGAGAGAGGGCTGCTACAGTCTGGCTCCAAGCAAGTTTTCTGAGAAAGCAGGCAGACATAGAAACCAAAGTAAACAAACCAAATGCACTACCACCATCTCCTAACAACATTGATTTTTTTTCTCCCATCGCAGGATCTAGCAGAGTTTGTAAAGCACACTTTCTACATTTGGGGGCACTCTTACTCCCAGCTATCTTCCTTTGGTGTTTAAAAATTCTCAAGTAATTGCAAGTCAACCACAATATTTCTAAGGATGCTATATTCCAGAGAACTCAAACAATTTATTGTAGAGTTCAGTTTGAAACAACTTTTTTACAATAATTCCACAAATACTTTACTATCTCAAAACTCACAGTATGACAAGCATTCACTTGGTATTCTAAATAATATAATTTCTTATTTAAATTACAACTTATAAAATAGCTACCACTGGTATTTTTCAAATGGAAATTATTACAGAGTGATTTAGGCCATGCCTTTGTCACAATTAAAAGAGAATAAACCAGGCAACGATTTTTCTGCTCTGATACCAAAATCCACAAAGTTTGTCTAATTTTTTCATACCATTGTTTTCTTCCCTTTGATCAATCAGTTTATACTGTACATATACAACCTTGTTTCTATGGAGTTCTGTAGTCCGTTATTATCCTTAAGAGGATTCCTTTGAACACAGTTTAGCATCTTGAATTTATGAGTGATGAGGGCTAAAAGTAATCTTAGAAATTAGCTAGTCTGAACTCCTCATTTTAGCAAATGAGAAAAAGAAGAGTAGAGTGCCAATGATTTACTCAAGGTCTCAAAGCAGTTTGAGTGCTTTGTTGAGGTCTCTTGATTTCCAGGTCAGAGTAGAGTCCAGGAATGCCATACAATCTCTCTTCCATCAAAGGAACTGTTTTGAAGGCAATGAGTAAAATTCTAGGAAAGGAGACATATGACCATATAATGACACCATTTGTACCTAGAAAGAGAGCTTGCACATTTTTTTCAGAACTAAAAAGGGAAATTAAAATATAATCTTTTTGTTTTGGAATTCTATTTAAATAGAACAACTATCATGGAAAATATAATTTTTTCTGGTTAACAGTCACCACCACTCTTGACTTGGACCTCATCACAAGATGCAACAATGCCTGATCACTTGACTAAGTATTACTAATAGAAATGCAGAAATCTTGAGGTGTCTAAAATGTGAGAAACTGTCTAGCCTAGCTCTAGCTTACTGTAAACTTATACCTGATGATCCAATACTATAATAACTTGACTAAAGTCATGAATTAGGGAAGCAACAGAGCCTGGTTAACAACTTGTTTTCTTGTCTTCAAGCTTAGGATCCTTTCATTTCACCATACATTATTACATTCATACATTATTACATTCATTCAACTCAACTTACTCAAGTAACTCAATGGGATATGTAAATACCCAGTGGCTATAGAAAGACACTAGAAAGTTAGATGTATGAGAGCACCTCAAAAATTCATGGAAAAATTACGTTACCTTTTGATCCCATTTTTCCATGAACTTTTTAGAGCCACTTCCCCTATAAGAACTTCAGTCCATCAAAGTATCACCAGACAAAAGCATACACTTACACTGTTAATAAAAGAGTCATAATAATAATAGAACACCACAAGATTGCTGGCTGAAACACATTTTCACTTATTAAAGTATGTTGGTTTTCATATGCATTTACAATTTTCTTTAAACTAGTTGAGGGTCATCTTTCAATACAAACTCTTAGGAAAAATAACCACTTGCCTATGTAAACATTCTTTTGGTATTGAGAGAGATTGCTTGAGTAAACACAAGAGGTGGAAGAACAAAAAACAATTCCAAAAGATCAGGAATGATTTAAAACTCTTAAGCAGAAATCTTTGGCAGTGTGTATATTAACTGCAGACATCACATGACATTTTTATTTCCAGTTTTCTGGATAACACTTTAAGACTGAATTTAAATAAACAGTTGCTCAGAGACATTAAGTTCATCTTTGCAATTTATTATTGTAGCTACTCAAACAATGAAAGATTATGAGATAAAACACGTCCATCAATATAAGGTGTTACCTGTTAAATCATTCTAAATGTTCATTTGAAAACCTCTTGTCCACTTAAATCAGTAAAGAGAATAGATACATTCTAGGGCCACTTACACAGTCCTGTGAACCACTGAGGTATTTATATGATCACCCTAACCCCCAAATTAATTTAGAACAAAGGCCAAAGATGTTTACAAAATTCTTTTTCATCACAACTGAGTCTGATTCAAATGAACAAGAAGAAAGTGATTTCTAAGGCACCCAAACTATATCTGGTTTCCAAAACACATTTGCTTTTAATGAAGGGTGCACTTTATTTAATGAGGTTATCTAATATTAGTAAAGCTTAAGAAAACTAAGATAGAACACATTAAAAAATTGGCATCATATTAAAATAATAAAATATTTTGAAAAAAAGTAAGAAGACAAATCTTCATAATAGATTCCAGGTATATATTTCGTAAGCTTCTGAGATGTGGGGGCACATATGTTTCAGCCCTGTTTGCTCTTAAATTGAAAACACTATTCCTAACAGTGACTATGTACTTTTACCTAAACTAAACTTTTGTAAGAAAAGCAAAGTACACGCATAATAGTATTAACTTTCTACTTGGTATGAACCTCACAGAGTGATTTTAATGAGTAGGGCTTTGTGATAATTAATTAAATGTTTTGGGGGAAAATGAATTAATTAAGGGTTTGGGGGAAAGTTTGTACCTGGTGGATCAATACTTTTTTTCTCCATGAAGAACATAACATTGAAAACTTTCACCAATATTGCTTGAGAATAGTTTTAAAACACCCAGTGAAGCTAAAAAATGTTCCATATACTAAGGTTTATAAGCAACTTTTCTTTTTGTCAAAGTAAATATATGTATATTTTGTGGAAAAACAGACATCACTCATATCTTTCCCTATAAAAATAGGAATGCTTAACCTATCAGCCTGTTGCATTGGAGACATTAAAATGAAAAATGGCATCTACGCCCATTAATATCTTCAATGTATAAACAGCACAGCGTGACACATTCTTGAGAGCTGAAGGCTACAAAATCTCTCTGAAACATAAATAACTAAGCACTCAGAAGCATATTTGATGTTGATATTCATCTCTGAGAAAAACATTGCTGCCTAGGCTTCTTATGAAAATAGATGCAGCCCAAATGGATCTCCTGTAATTGGTTTCAGATAGCGAGGTCAGAAGAAATATGATACAAGAAACGATTATGTGGAACAGGCGAAACAAGAATGTTTACACAAGCACTCCCTAGTTCTACTGACAAGGGGTGTATACTTTGCAGATAACCAGAACAACAACAAAAAATAATACCAGCAGGACAGCCAGATTTTTGCTCCCCAGATTCATATATTTTAACCCTTAACATATTGTGTCCCTAATATGTTACTTTGAATACTGAACATAAAATAAGTTTTCAAACAGAATTTTATATTCTAATTATTTTCACAAGTAGGGTTGATAGAAGTATATTCAGATGTTTCCACAAAGGATATGAATTCCTATTCTGTTTTGCCTTTCCTGGCATTACGTTCCCACTAAAGGAAATGCACTGATAAATGTAATCTGAAGTCTCATAATGCTA